TAGGTATACATATATATATATAAATGTCATGTATATACCGCTAGGTTACATATCTTACAGGGACCCGTGGAGGTCCGGGTTAGAATGAACCTTCAGTAACCCATGCTTGTCGTAAGAGGCGACTAACGGGATCGGGTGGTCAGGCTCGCCGACTTGGTTGCCACATGTCATCGGTTCCCAAGTGCGGAGATCGATGCTCATGCTGTTGATCACTGTATTGTCTGGTCCAGACTCGATTATTTACAGACCGCAGCCATATAGCTGGAATATTGCTGAGTGCGGCGTAAAACTAAACACTCACTCACTCACTCTTACAGGGATGTTGACTGTGCCTTTAGTAAGGTTCATTCAGATTATTTTCTGAAACAAAACGGTGGCATTACATCGAGATGCCACCGACATTACGAGATCGAAATGGCAGTAGAAGTAGCAGTCTTGCCAGTTTCTTCAGACGGCTGTGTAGCACAACACAGACTAATATTTACTCGCGATCTTACGTCACAGGATTCCTCAACAACCCTTTTTAATGTGACAATATCGCTGAGGGTTTGTCTGTAACACGTCTAGAAATTCATCTCGATAATATAGATATTTATTTTTGCCATTCTTAAATCTGTCATCATTCAGCATGTCAATACAGCCATTTCTAACTTCCTTCCCCAAGTCTTGTGTTGATGTCAAAGTTGTTTGTTAGCACGAGCTCGTGCAGTAACCATGCAAGTCTCAAATGTCCATGGCATAATTGAATTGACAGCCTCGCGATAAGATGTCCCATCCACCGCGAGATATTTCCCTATCTGTCGCGGTATTTGACACCTGCCGACCCCTGACCCCCATTGTTGATTAGAACAAAAGACAAATGTTTGTTTTTCAAATCATCGCCGCGAATCAGTTTGTTGTGGCATTGATGTGCATTCCGGGCCATATTACCTTTCAAGGCTCCGCACAGCGTCGGTAGTGGTAAGGAGTTAGGAGCAGACGCCGAACCTCAACAGTCAATATCGTCAGTTTATGTTGAACCTCAGTCTCCGTTCTGTTTGCTAACTGTTTCGACAAGTACAGATTCCTGGATTACAGAATCATGTTTGTTTCATGCTTTGATACAATTCCTGCCATATTTGCTGATATGTGTTATAGCGAGGTGTAGTGCTATATGTCAGACGTTATGTCGAGGAGCGGCGCTGTTTGGAACTGGTACAAATACCGCAGGTAGCATATACAGGTAGGTACCATGTGTATGCCATCCCAGTGGTAAATCTCAGTGAACGCGGTACATAATATTAACATATGGCGTCAATTTATCTCGGATCTCCCTTCATGCAGTCTGTTAGCGTTATACAGAAATAGCCAATCGTTTCTTCTTTGAAACCGCAGTATTTGAATACTACTGTAGGCATATGTCAGAGAATAATATTTATCGAGTGGTATGCATTGATTTCTCGTGCTGTAATCGATAATGAGCGAGGTAGCATTGGCCAGGCTGTATCTGACCGTCAGATGTCGCGTGACAGCTTGCTTCATACCGGAAATGACATATGGCGTATGGGGATATTTGATTGACTGAAAAGCTTCTCGGTATATAGTTCGTAGGCTGTATATAAGTCGTCGATATTTCTGATCAACTGATCACATGAGAGTCTTCAACAATCAACAGTGTACTTGTCACAATCTGCATTGAACCCTGGGATGGGCTGTCGCGAATCAACATAACTCAGATAATATAGTATCAATTTCCATTCAAATATCCATCTTTGTATAATGATAAACGCTAGGTACGGGCTGGGGATTGATGTGTTATGGCCCGATCGAGCGTAAGATAATGCTAAAGCTATATCATCGCCTGACAATCATCTGCGCAATGTAAAATTCATATCCTGGGTATGGGCCTGGTAATGCTATCGAAGCGCCCTGGTCGATGGAGCATCCATGTCTACGATAACAATACAGTGATAAGCCTTCATCCTGCTTATTCAGCGATTCGTTCTCGTCTAGATCGATACGCTTGGTAGGGGTCATACTCCGTCCTCTACATGTAGGCATAGGTTGTCTTGATATGTTATCTAGCATGTGAACACTACCCGTATCTCAGTGATAACGACACCCGTGAAGAATTGGTCTGCATCAACCCATTCTTGTCGTAAGAGGCGACTAACGGTATCGGGTGGTCAGGCTCGATGACTTGGTTGACACATGTCACTGTATCCCAATTGCGCAGATCAATGCTCATGCTGTCGATCGCTGGATTGTCTGGTCCAGACTCTATTATTTACAGACCGGCACCATATAGCTTGAATGAATGCGAATGAATGAATGAATGAATGAATGAATGAATGAATGAATGAATGAATGAATGAATGAATGAATGAATGAACGTCCCCCGCTGTCTGTGAAACACAATCTCCCAGGAAACCAGCCAGTGCAAAGTTAGCGGACTTTTGCAATATGAGTGAGGAACTGCGACGGGGATATTGACAGACATATGCAAAACTTACCTGAATTGCGTCCCTTGCATATTGGCTGGCCCTCATAATGTTTCTAGTTGTGCTGCACCATACCATTTTTCGTGGGTTTCACCACAGTAGTGAAAACCCGAGACCTTAGTTTAAGGAACACGTCGTGACATAACTGGAATACTGCCAAAGGCGCCGTTAGGGCGATGGGGTAACCTAGTGGTTAAAGCGTTCGCTCGTCACGCTCAAGACCCGGGTTCGATTCCCTATATGGGTACAATATGTGAAGCCCATTTCTGGTGTCACCCGCCGTGATATTGCTGGAATATTGCTAAAAGGAGGTCAGGTCGCACAAGAAATGTATCCAATATACAACAAGAATTGTCAACATTGAAACATGTCCTGCTCTAAAAACAAAGCGGCGTAAAACCACACTTACTCTCTCATTCACTCAAGGCGCCGTTAACTCCAACTAACTGACAAATGATGTTTGCACGAGACATTCAACAATGCAGTGATTTGATTGGTCATTTTAAACAGGTCGTGGGCATCGGATGTCACAATTGACATATAAAAAGTCGCAGTTTAGTCCTGAAAGATATGTGTGTCCCTCTTGATTGCATTGTATGCTACTTGTGAGAACAACACGCTGATCAAAGATTCAGAAAGTTGTTAAACAAACTAAAGACAAACTATTTTAACAAATATTTACCCAAATTAATATAACCCAACTATCTGTAACCCAGCTGTGACGCTTAGAGAAATATTGTTGATATTTAAAACAGGTTTGAACAACGAACGTCCTGATTCGTGCGTTATCTGTTATCGCCTGAGCAGCTGTTGCGCGTTGTTTAACACATCACGAGTATTTCAACCCTGATAATACCATGTGGCCATGTCATGCCAGGTCACGATGATATATTGAAATATGTGTAACATTAAAATATTGCAAAAATATTTTTGTAAGACCTTCTTCATAAACTGTAAGCACAGCAATATTTGCGAAGCGTATATATGGGAATATTAATTTCAATTACCTCTCGACCACTCGATCCCGTTAGTCGCCTCTTACAACATGCATGGGTTGCTGAAGACCAATTCCGGATCATCACGGGTTATAAAAGTCTGGGTCAGAGGATGGTGGTGCTGTTTACATACAACAAGCCACTGCCACTACTGAACTCCCACAGGTACAATGTATTACACATGGAACACTGTCACATAATGAATAACACTGTCACATAATGAATAACACTGTCACATATTGAATAACTTGTCACATAATGAATAACACTGTCACATAATGAATAACACTGTCACATAATGAATAACACTGCTACTACTGAACTCCCACAGGTACAATGTTTTACACATGGAACACTGTCACATAATGAATAACACTGTCACATAATGAATAACACTGTCACATAATGAATAACACTGTCACATAATGAATAACACTGCCACATAACCACAGAACACTCCTTCCCTTTAAATAAAGTCATAATGGATACCATGCCGTATATTTGCATGTTTCCACCAGTAACAGATCAAGCCAACGGTGGTCCTGGGCATCACCAATGTAATTTTTGTTTGTTGTTTGACGACGCCCTCCACCGTATTCCAGTTATATGATAAAATTTACGCAATTGGGATTAGTGGTGTTCCGATTAATTGAAATAATCGAAGATTGGTCGCAGTGACCAAACGACCAAGCAATTGATCACATTTTCTCATAATCGAACATAAACGATTTTGGAACTACTGTTTTAGTCTTTGAAATACTTGACAATGGAACGTATCTTAGAAGTTGTCATGGCCTGAAGTTCACTTCACTATCTGAAAAGTCATGACTGAATATTTCTCTAACACTCCAGGACGTTTATGTTCATGATATATTAGTCATCACTTTAAAGTAGCAAGTTGCATCATGTTATAAATACATATCTGCAATAACAACCTGGATAGGAAATTCTGAAAAATGAGGCTAACCAATTTTTTTCGATGATTGTTCGTTGGTAATGAAGCAATCATCAATTGTGAGATTTCAACCTATTCCCAACAATAATTGGGATACCATGACATGCGCCAACCCAGTCGGTGTACCGGACGACCTGATCCGTTCAGTCACCTCGTACGACAATTATGGGTTGCTGAACACCTGTTGCACCGCGAACCTTCTCTTGTTTGTATGTTGTTTTACGCCGCACCCTGCAGTTTTCCAGCTATATGGCAGCGGTCTGTAAATAATTGAGTCTCGACCAGACAGTCAAGTGAATGACATTATAAGCATCAATCTACGCAATTGCGATGCTATGACATGTTGGTCAACAACGTCAGCGAGCCTGACCACTCGATCCCTTTGGTCGCCTCTTACGACAGGCATGGGTTACTGAAGACCAATTCTAACCCGGATCTTCACGGGTTGAACGTTCACTTGTGATACTGAAGTGTATGATATAGTTTCGAGCCTTTCTCCCACATTAAACTGACATTCTTTGGTGTGAAGCTGACTTCACTAAATGACTTAACATTCTGTTTGATTCTTAGTTCCAGCTATTCAAGATGGCGATGTCAGAGACTGTGAACTGTGACCCACGGACCCGTTTTCTCCGTTGTCTGTTCTGCACACATCTTTTCACCATGAACGGTCGTGAACCCCGGATGTTGGGCTGTTGTCTCAACGCAATCTGCTCTGCGTGCGCATCAAAGCTGTGTCTTGAGAGCTCCTCGCACCTCCGCTGCCCCGTATGTCGACAATCCATTACCCAGCCTAACGCCAACAAAACAGACGAGTCCATTGACGTCATCGACGAGTCCGTTGTGGATGGAGGGACAGTGGATCTGCCTGTTGAGCTGATAAGGAGCAAAACCATGGAATTCCAACACATCCAGAAGGGGATGACCTTTCCGTGTTTGGTCTGCAAGAAGACACAGTCCACGTGGTTTTGCGAGAACTGTGATGGATACATGTGTGACGTATGCCGTGACGAACACAAGGAGGACACAAAGACGAAACGCCACAGCACCGTAGCGGTGACCAATCTGAAGGCCAGACAGCTCAAGGACTTTAAACAACATTACTGCAAAGATCATAGTTTCTCTAAGGTTACACTGTACTGTACCACATGCAAACAGGTCGTATGCAACATGTGTATTCGAGACGGGCATGACAGAGACACACACAATGTTCTCACAATACAAGAAGCCTTCGGCGCCAGGATTAAGCAGACTGGGAAACTGTTGTCTAAAGCACGAAAGAAGCACCGACATTTGACAGACTACGGCCAATCGTTGAAATTGAGGTCGGACAGCAACGTTGTGTCTGAAGCAACCGCCAAAGAGAGCATCAATGAAGTATTCGACCACCTCATGGATGTCATGCAACGTCGTCGTACAGAACTGTTGGATGAGGTGGAAGGTGAATCGTCCACGCTTACAACATCTGCGACGGTGGATACCGATTCTACCGACTGTCGCCTGTCCATGCTCAACACAGCGACCGACTATGCAAAAGAGTATAAAACTAAGGCCGACAACGTTGAGTTCTTGCAGCTCTTCCCGATGGTGTCCAACTCCCTCAAGAACGCCCTTGACATTCCAAATGGCCAAATTCACAACTCACGACAGGGTGTTGTATTCTCTCCCTGGAATCTGAATATGGTGGAGACGTTGTTGAAGACGGCGGGGCAGCTACGGGTTGTCACCTACAAGCCGACAGGACGTAAGGGACGAGAGGAGATCCAGTTGAAACCATCATTGCGCCCAGAAGGTAGGTGCCCTCATCAATGTACTGACAAAAGTAACTATAGGATGGTTGGTTTGTTGTTTAACGCCGCACTCAGCAATATTCCAGCTATAGTTCGGCGCTGTGTAAATTATCGAGTCTGGACCAGACAATACAGTGATCAACAGCATGAGCATCGATCCACGCAGTTGGGATACCATGACACGTGTCAACCAAGTCAGCGAGCCTGACCACCCGATCCCGTTAGTCGCCTCTTACGACAAGCATGGATTACTGAAGATCAATTCTAACCCAGATCTTCACGGGTAGTAATTTATATACATGTATACAGTTCTGAATTGACACGGAATTGATTAAGAACCGGAAAGATCTGATATGGACTTTACATACCTGCCATTACGATTATGGTATACAACACAAACCACTTGTACTTGAATTAAAAGGAAAATCACGCTTCAAATTCAAGAGTACCATGCATCTGTTATTAAGTACGTTCATGCCCTTCGTCATTGCTCCTGCAAATGAACGTATAAGTCTAAGGCAAACTTTAGATATATCATCAAAATTTATAAATAAGATACGGATTCAGGAAGCCTAGATGTCATCTTCCCACTAAAACCCAAGTATACTCTTTCTTCAAAAACATAAAACGTTAGTCCAATAGAATACCTCAAGAACCGATTCCATTTGGGACTGACTGACTGAGTTTGGTCTTACGCCGCTTTTAGCAATATTCCAGCAACATCACGGCGGGGGACACCAGAAATGGGCTTCACACATTGTTGTACCCATGTGGGGATTCGAACCCGGGTCTTCGGCGTAACGCTTAAACGCTTTTACAACTAGGCTACCCCACCGCCTCCCCATTTGGGAACATAGCTATAAAAATTGTATAAACTGACCGTTGTAAATCAGCGATGTTTGCCTGGTTAGCATGCCCTTCCCTACCGATAGCATTCGCATTTTAAAAAAAATTCTTAAACATACGAAACAAAGTACTACTCATATTATTATTAAATATGAAGACCAAATGTTATTCAGGGCTTGTGTATCAACCGAAATTTAAGAATTTGGGAAAATAAGACGAATATTATTTATCCGTGTACATGGTCCATACGATAACCTCGGAATGGGGAGATAACAAGTTATTATCCAAAGAGGAGAATACATCTGTTTATCAGTCATTCGGAACCGACCTAATACAAAACATGACAACATCCGTGTACGAGCATATCTATGTTCTTCGTACAAATTTATCATGGAACTTAGGGGCGGTCGAGTAGCCTAGTGGTTTAAGCGTTCACTTGTCACGTCGAAGGCCCGGGTTCGATCACCACATGGGTACAATGATCGAAGGCCATTTCTGGTGTCCGCTGTCGTCGTGGTATTGCTGAAATATTGCTAAAACCGGCGTTAAACTATACTCACTCACGAACTCATGAAACTGAAACTCTGTTAGCGTGGCTTGATCCAACTTGTACATTGTACATAGAACTAACGAATTGTTTCAGGGCATGACCTGGATGTGACCACCACCATAGAGGAACAGGGCAAGGAAGTCAAGACAGTCAAGGACATCGTCTGTGAGTAACAAACACGTCAGACGTGGGAAAACCGTGTCAGATCGATTCAAGCTTGAAATAGTCTCCGCACGCAGAAAGCCAGTTATCCCAATGAGGACCACTTAAATCTCTGACGCAATACGTTATACGATTATCGCTGTGAATGATGTATGCGTGTATTGTAGAAATTAGTCTGTACAAGAAGCGCATTGCTAAGATGACTAGGATAGACAATGTAATCTCCTTTTCTCGAAGCCCTGGGACTTATGAAAACGAAACGAATTTGACAAATGTTAATAGACATTGCCCTTCCTTAAATGTACGTATTGGTATCGATTTTGAAAGGTCTTCTCGTGTCGGAACAATTTGTGGTTTGAATTATATCAACTAATTACATTTTTATGGGATTGAAATTCGTTCTTGGCTCTGACCTACACAACATTCAACCTAATAATGAGGGAAACATAACTGTTCATAGCATGCGTCATTCCTTGAATAATGAATATCTGTTTCAGGTTGCCATGACGACCGGGTCATCATGATTCCAGCAAGTGAAGACAGAGGAGCAATCCGAATAAGCTGTAAGTATAAATTTGTTTACTGGTTAAGTTATAATTCAAGAGAAAATACATGTAAAGGGAGGTAATCAGACACAAAGTGCACAGTTTTGAGAATACGTATTATTACATATATATGTAATTTAAAATAATTTATTTGCTGTAAGTTGAATAAACGCAACCCATATATGTTCGTAATATATCTATCTATATCAAACTTATATAATCGTTTTGTTAGCACTAGTGGCCCCGTCACCGTAAATCACCACATAGAGTTAAGCCCACACATAATTAGCGGATTCCTTTGGCAGAATACCAAGATTCGCGTCAGTTTCATTCAATCTCTGCGCACGCATCTCCATCCTGGTTCTCATGTATTTCACCAGAGAGGAAAACGTCAACGAACAATAGGCTAAATTGTTTCGTTAATGGGAAGTCGTGATCTGAGCATGCAAATAATTAACTTGTATTCAATCAAAACCTCTCACCCATTGACTTTTTTTCAGGCCCTAGACTATCATTCGATCTCCAGACACTTCACTCAGATAGGACAGTCACACCAGAGGGCGTAATGGTCAACTACGCTCCTGAGCGCCCCCTACCGAACACCGGATGTCGTCTGCGCGCCTACCCCGGATCAATGGCGGACACGGCTCTGGACGGGACCGGATTCATGATGTGGGTTGTGAAAACCAAGGTTCACATTAAACAGCGTGTTCCTGATAACAAGATGTTATTTGAGGCCGCATTGACTGGTACTCCCGTAGATGCTCCCCTCAGTCAAAGAATTGATTCAAGCCTCGTTTTGGCTGGATGCGATCTTCACCATGACCTTTGCATCAAAATCAAATATTGCTGCAAAAATCTGGCGCATTTTTGTGGCTGCAAGAACGCCGTTGGTGTGAGCACAGACTTCCAGTTTGGCATGTTACTTGATTTTGATCGTCGTCGTCTCCACGTTCTTGATTTGATCTCCAACACGGTTGTAAGTAAAGCCGAGAGGATCAGTGTTCACAAACCTCTGTGGTCGATATTCTGCGTTGGGAGGTACACGTACGCCGACGTCAAGCTAGAGCTGAACACGGCCGACAAGGTCAAGGTCACACCAGAGCTGTTTCAGTTGTTGACGAAAGTTGTTGATCAAGAGAGAGCGCCGAAAAAATAGGATTAGGACGGACAATGTAATCATGTTTACTCGAAGCCCTGGGGATGATAATATGTTTATCGAGTTATCCGTCGTTCGATACAAGCGAAGTGTCAGAGAGACCGATATATTTGTCAGGTTAGAACTCTTTTATGGTTGGAGTTTCCGAAACAAGTAATTCAATAACATCAAACATGCCAGGAAGAATATGGCAACGAGTACAGTACTGCTACAGAACTTGAGTATCCGATCTGTAATCAGCTTGGACTGAAACACACCAACAACCAAAGTTATTAGGTTACCCAGGAGAGTACAACTGTAACAAAACCTGGTGTATGGCACCACGGCATGATTCAGAGATATAAATTAGATTATTCCTGGACAACCTGCAGTGAGCTCTCTCTGTCTCGAATTTGACGAACGAAATCTTACAGTTCGAGATATAATGTAATTCGAGATACAAACCTGTTTCCAAAACATTTTTCAATTCTTCACTCTGATTGTTCTCGCAACATATAACACCATCATTTCAAATACCAGGTGATCTACACTTGTCAAATGGTCTGCTGTGAAATGAAATTAGTCACTTAGTAGTGACAAGTTTTAGCTTAACAATCTGTTACGATCTAGGGGACCATTCCATAATCGCTGGATGAGGGTAGTGACACCCCACCCCCCAAAAACCAAATGGTTATTCCCTAAATATTGAATATCGAGGAATTCGAGAAACGCAGTAATAACAATTAGACCTTGACCTTTAGTAGCATGACGTACCATGCGTATCTCGAGATGATCATGAATTACCAGTTAAAGTGTTCGAGAGTTGTCAGGCCAGTGTATTAAGAGCACACTTCTGATGTAAAATATCATTGAATATTTAGTGACGACATATTCTGTTTACTGGAAAGTAAAAACATATAATTTTCTTTCAGATATATATTATTCCATGCTAAAATAGTTACTATTTCTTTTACCTGTCCTAATCTGCAAGAAGGTATTTTCAGAGTATGGTCATGAATATATATTTTACAACAGAACAATTAGTTTACTCTTTCGTCAAAATATCAGGCGAGGTGGCCATGTTACTTGAGCCAAATATCATCATATACTGTAAAGGCTCTTTAATGTGTGACTGGAGAGATTTGATATTTGCTATATTTACTGTATAAAAGTGAGACAAGTGATTCAGTACACTGCGGGCTTTCACGGTATTCATGCCAAATATTTATTTATATTTTTTACATGGCATTGAAATGTAATGATAAACATATTTGTACGGCGAGTGGAAATGTATTTAACTCTATTGTTTGCGTGAATGATTTATACAACATTAAGATGTTACCTTTTCTTATCAATATCCAAATATGATTAGGTCGGACGATCGTATTTCGTTTTTATTGCGACTTTTAAACCACTTCAACCATCATACAAACGTGGAAAGAATTATGTAAAGATATGTTCGATTTGAAAATCAAGACTCAATCGTAATGAAATCAGATCTAAGTTCTCTGGTGATATACTAGGGTGTGCGGATTCAATGACAGATCACGTTTCTAAGGGTTTCAGTGTGACCAGAAAATCGTCAAAAGAATTGCATGAGTGGAAGTCATCAGCTGTTTAACTCGAGAATTTACGAATCCCGTCAAACCCATCGTTTGTCTTCCGCTTCAATGGGATAAATATCCGAAACGAAATTATTGTCTTAGTCACGTGGGGAGTACTGTTCCCAGGGCCTCCTTTCACAAAGCACTAAGGTGATCGTAAGTCACTAAGGTAACCTTAGTGCAATGTTAAAGAATGGGTGGAGAGCGCATGGATCAGGGCCTCCTTTCACAAAACAACCTTTACTAAGGTTAACCTTAACTGCCATTCTTTAACATTGAACTAAGGTTACCTTAGTGACTTACGATCACCTTAGTGCTTTGTGAAAGGAAGCCCTGGTCAGCATGGCTTGAGAGAACGGGTTATGTCAAAAAGTGCAACCGAATTTAACATGGAAATGGGTGATGTGAAAGCAGACTTTCCTTCAGTGGACTGTCATAATATTTATTGAATTATTTATGGGATCGAGGCTGTCTCTCTTCACACAAATGTTTATTAACGTCTAATTTAAAATTGCTGTTTGAGTGTGCATGTATCGATATGTTTATTGTAATGGGTACAGCGCAACGCCCGAGTATTTGTATATATTTCAATTATATTTCGTTATATTTCTATACCAATAACTGCAATGCAGAACATGGACTGTGAATATGTCCATGTGTGAGAATATATGTACTGTTGCGTTGCCTTATAGTGTACGCTCAGGATGTACTGCAGCCTTATAGTAAATACACCAGGTGTATTATTTGATGATTGCTGTTATCTCAACTTGCTATCAAAACTTTGTGCAAGAATTTATTTCAAAGAAGTATGCCTAATTTGAAGTACACATATACAAAGAGGTTATGAAGGTAAATTGTGTGATCCATTATTTTATTATTGTTCATATACATTTTTCTTAGGACGACAATTTAGATGTGTTTTTACTACCGTGTGTAAAACGGATGGTGGCGCTCCATATAAATATATGAAAAATGCCAACAAATGTTTATATTTTTTAAACTAATTTGATTACCATGAGATTTGTGAACTAATTCGATGACTAGGGATGGTGTGAACTAACTAGATGACGAGGGGTTTTGTGAACTAGATTACTGGGACAGTTGTAAACTATTTAGTTGACGAAAAACCGTGTTGCGTATGCGCCAGCTCCGAAAGGGCTAATGCAAACTGCAATTTTTGCCAAACCAGGTTATCTATATTGCAACATGTCACGTCATTATATTTGATAATTTAAAAAGGAGACGATTTTGTGATATAGACTGGGACAGGGACGTCCAAACACATGGTTCACAGGTAGTTTCTATACGCGTAGACGCGTCACCATATAGCCTGTTACGACGGGTCATTTCTACAGTTCACTTATATCAGCACAGCCGTTTATTCATCCATGATACACCAATTTGTAAACGGGCATGCAGCCATTAATATTTTTCAGGTCTTAACCAGAGTTTTTGGTATGTCGCAAGGTGATGACAATAATATATACTACTCAAAATAATATAGCCTACTCGAAAGATGTTAAATCACTCAACCCTTTCACACTATATATAATAGTTATAAACACTGTTGTGTCGAATTTGAAGGGATATACATACATGAATACTTCTGAGTTATTCGAGGTTCGATGAACATGTTTGTGATGATCCGTTAGAGATAAACACCGTGCCTATGCTCCTGCATTTAGTGTATACGTCATGTCAATGTTACATTACTGGGTGTACACACAACATGTACGCGTACAGTACGCCTTTTGATGTAACTTGTGAGAATGCGTCATGGTGAGAGAAATAAAATATTTATTTTCAGAAACAATACTTGTCATATTTTCATACATTTGTAGCAACCTATACATTTCCAAAGTTGCCTCTAACCAACAAGTAGCACAGATGGGTACCCGGAAGGAATGGAATGAGCCATCGGGTAACTCGGACATTGCCTGTCATAAAATTTTGCTTTATTCAGTGTCCCTATGGCAGTTATTTTGCCACTACCTCATGACATCTTTTTAAATTTTCTGTGAAGAAAATGAGGTTCAACGCGTGATTACTACTCGTGCGTGTAGCTAATTTGTACAAATCCCAGAACTAATTCCTGTTTTCCGGTGGTAGCCATGCCCAGACGTGGGTATCCCACTCAAATACAGTATACTGATTCAGAGCCAATTTGAGCCATCGCGATAACAAATAACATATTTCAAATTCGCTGTGGTATGGTCATCGTATCCCAATTACGTAGATAGATGCTCATGCTGTTGATCACAGGATTGTCGGATTCAGACTCGATTATTTAAAGACCGCCGCCAAATAGCTGGGTGCAGCGTTAAACACCAGAAATGGGTTTCACAAGTTGTACCAATGTGGGGAATCGAACCCGGGCCTTCGGTGTGACGAGCGAACGCTTTAACCACTCGACTACCCCACCGCACCCCGTTTGTATGAGAAATCGGGGGGTATTTTATCGTTGTGGAAGGATGTTATAACCTACAAGCATTACGAAACGCGTAACAGACAACATGCATTGAAACCTAGGTGCAAAAATCTTTTATGCTTTCATAGAGAGAAAACAATTTATTGAAATATGCTACGATATGAATAAATAGAATTTGTTAATATACTGAACAACATTAGAAACGCTCCACACTAAAATGCACCGACGATGCTCAGATATCATGGGTACATTTCAGATATTTCGTATTATATGGGTGGTGCGTTTCTTATGTTGTTCAGTATATATATACATTGACAGGAATGTATTGAATGTGAAAAGAACGACCTTTCTTTTCTTCAATATATAGTTTGTGAATTGTAGGTCGGATGGCATACATTTCCCACATAAACTAGTACAATACAAACGTATACTATACCTATAATTACTGTAGTACAATTACCACTTCATGGCAAAACCTTTCTCCGCTCGCTGAAACCTCGGATAGCATACCACAGGTGAGTGCAATGTGTGACCCCATACTGGTATGTCGGCGAGGAGCTCACTGAAAGCACCCAGACATAATTCACAGCCTCTCCCTGTAACTTCGCTAACACACAGGTGAATGCCAGTTCATACCAACATGATACCCAAATGCTTTTGCAATCACTGCAACCATCATTAGCTCTGAAAATCCCACTACATTCCTCTGCAGTGTCACGCACGTGCAGAATGTGGAGATGCACGTGTTCCACGATGTAGTCGTGTGTGCTGTGTTGCTCACTAACCCTGTGGGGTACTTCTCTTGTATGCACGCGAGAATGGAGATAGTATTGACATTTAAGGGAACAATATATTTAGATTAGATAACTGAAAACGCATAGGATGACGTAACAAACAGTCACGGTTCTTTCAACATCACTGTGTTGCGCTCAGGGGCCGTGTTTATAAACATTCTCAGAATTGAAAGTTACTCATAAGTAGGGCTGCGCAATATAACCGGTTTACCGGTATTTACCGGTTCAGACATGAAAACGATACGTATTGCGATACGCTGATCGAAAATCGGTATTTTGATATGCATTCGAAAAACTTCGTAACACTCGGAAATCTTCGGATATTTCCGTTCTTAAAATTGTTCCTTTCCTTGTTTCATTTGTGCCAAACACTATTTACATTTTTATTTTGTCATGATTAAAGGTTTTTATTAACGCCTAATCAAGCATTGTGATTTTGTTGCGTTTTTGCTTATAAATCAAGCATTAACCACCCGATCCCGTTAGTCGCCTTTTACGACAAGCATGGGTTGCTGAAGACCAATTCTAACACTGATCTTCACGGGTCATTAACGAAAGGAACACTGGTATTGTTATTATGCTGTACAATGTACCGTAAATTTATACGGCAGAAATCTTCTCATCAACATGAGAAATTGGTGCCAATGAACATTGTTCATCAACGAGTGATTGGAATGCTGTTTCATACATGGTAACGAAGAGGTCTCATCTTTATTGGTGATGATCAACTATTCATGCAGCCCATTCCCCTAACATATTCCGATGAGAACCAGTAGTAAACTGTACCCTATGTGATGGTAGGTAAACAACAGCAATTGACTATGCATGTCATCGTTGTGTCAGAGTACAACCTTTTCGCCAGCACATGGTATTATCCAATGTGACTCACATTACCACATACAGAGATTTCTTATGATTTTGCCAAGAATTCCGCCTCTTTCTATCTATTGAGACTATGGAGATTGATTTTGGGCAATTATTTACCTGACGCTTTTGCTTAATCAAGATGTACTTGCCATCAAGGTAGTTGTTGATTTTATTACATGACTTGAACATTTGGTTATGTGCTCATTGTTCGTGCCCTCATGTTCAAAGGGAGACAATAGCCGTGAGTATTCTCCCTTTATTGTCTTCTGGCTGTCGTAAACTGCTGTCACTATCACAGACATGGAAACGGGATATGTGAGTGAACTATAAGCTCAGTAAAAGTCAGCTACAAGAGAAAATATTTTAAAATGCCACTTGTTTTGCAAACCGAACACATCTCTAAAAGGCCCTTACTTAACAGTATCATCGCGCAGTATCATCGCGCCACGTGAAACATTTAAATATCCTTGTCATTAAAAACAGTAACTGCGCCACCGTCGGCCTGGATTTTTCGCTAATCACATGATTATCTGGTCGTTCACATGCCGCCGTCGAAAGACAGGATAGTGCGGTGTCAACATACACATATTTCTTGTGTTTGACCGTTTGAAAGATATACTGAAAGGCAAAAGAAACGTCATAATATTGGAGGTGAGGTGAGGTGAAATTGGCTTAACGTCGCGCTAGAGAATATTTCGCTCATATGACGACGTGCATGCGTGTGTATGTGTATGTGCGGCTGCTTGTACTAGCCCTGACTGAAGCTGGTTTTATAGTGCTAGCCCACTGAGATACCATGCCGCAGTGAAGCATGAATACCCGACTCAGACACATTGTACTGACTCCGAGCCGACCAGTCCTTGTTGTACCCATTAATGCCAAGCGCCAGGCAGGGACCAACAAGTACCATATTTTAACGTCTTTTGGTATGACGTGGTCGGGGATCGAACCCGCGACCTTCCGCTCTCCGGGCAGACTCTCTAACCACTACACCAGGGAGGCGGCCGGAGTGGAGTGGAGTGGAGTGGAGTGGAGTGGAGTGGAAATGACATTAAAGTATCAATGGAGTAATTGAACCTTTTTTTAAATACACACCGGAAGTTAAGTTTAAGGAAAACATGAGTCATGGTCGTATAGCCTGTTTTGTCCAATAAAGTATTGTTTGAGATTGAGGTTGGAAATGTTTTTGTTTGTGGAAAAGGAAGAGTTTGCACAACACAACATTGAAATCGAGATGCACGTGCATCATGCATGCATTCAGGCATAGTGAGTGAGTGAGTTAAAAATTAACGTCACCTCGGCAATATTTCAGCCATATAGTGACGAGAAATGTTGGACATACACAATAAAGACAAGTAGGTAAATAACCAGTCATCGACGGACTGTAAAATAACTAGAGTATCACAGATATGGATATGAAACTAGCATTGAAAACTAAAACATTTCAATTAAACCCGACAATATAATATAAAACACGGGCTATAAGATCGCCAACAACTGAAGGTAGATCACCATGCTAGGAACCGTGGGGACTTACATTACTTTTGCTACCTGCATGGACCCTAGTTGGATTTACACCATCCCTTCAGCCGCTGGCGATGGTAGGAAGATTTAGCCGAAATTTAAAATAACAAAAATACTACGATTAAAAAGTATGGTTGAGCGAAATTGACTTGGAAAGTTTTTGGGAATAACGTATCGTCTCAGGAGGACAATAATGTTTCGCTACTTCAACCCCCTTTGAGGATACAACCACAAACAATCCAAGTTCATAATCTGAACTACCAATTATAAAACTTTTTCTATTAAAAAACATATATCAAAATTCATTTAACAAATCTATCTCTTTTAAAAAAGATAATAATTCAATGATAATTAATATTATTTAAAATGTCCTTTACTGTTTTGATATTGAAATGTTTATCCCTTATGATGGAGAATTCAACACAGTCAAACATGTATACAATTAGTTGTGGATTTAGAAAATTTAAAGCCGTTTTCAAGACACCATTTATTTATTATATTTAAACATAACTGCAGTTGCCGTTCAATAGTATGCATATTTTTATCACGACAAGAAATATTAAAATCATCCACAAAAAGTGATCCATCAATGGAATCATTTAAAACCTTGGATAAACTGTTGATTGTAATGCTAAACAATGTGACAGACAAAATACTGCCTTGTGGGACACCCTGATCCTGATCATAATGGTCAGACAGGGTTGAACCCATGCGGACCTGAAATTGCCTGTCTCTTAAAAACTGTGACATAAAAAGAGGTAAACGACTCCTCAAACCAAAATCATGTAAATCCTTTAAAATGCCATTCTTCCAGGTGGCATCGTAATCAAATATTATCGATACTGCATGTTATTTACTATAGTATTTTTAACAAAGGATTCTAAACGTACCAAATATTTAATGGTACTTCGATTTTTCCTGAAACCACATTGGATATTTGTTATAAGGTTATTGGTTTCAAGATACCATGTTAATCTATTATTTAAGATTCGTTCCATGGTTTTACAAACACAATTCGTTAAAGAGATTGGTGTGTAATTGGATGGATCAGTATGATCCCGGCTAGGCTTTGGAATAGGGACTACAATGGCATTACGCCAGGAAGCTGGGCAATTCCCTGAATTCCATATTGAATCAAAAATATTTAGCAACGTTTCCAGACATGATTCAGGCAAATACTTCAGGAGCTGATAGTGGATATCATTAGCCCCTGTTGCTGTATCATGGGCTTGCTCAAGGGCGGTATGTAGCTCATGTAGTGAAAACAATTCATTATAATCTTCACCATTGTCAGAGTTAATATTTAATCTTCTCTTCTCCTGTTGTTTCTGAAACTTTTGAAACTCGGGGACATAATTTGATGATGATGAATCCTTGGCGAGACTTTCATCAGAGTTTATTGGCAATGGCAGATTTATTAGTTAATAAATTATCCTCATCCTTCAAATGGTGAACAGTAGATTTAGAATTTTTGCCCTTGATTCTTTGAATCATGTTCCACACCTTTGACATAGGTGTGCGTGAATTTAGTTTAGAAACATAACTTCGCCAAGACTGACGCTTATTTTGTATAAAAGCACGTCTAGCCTTGACATTTAAAATTTTTACTTTGTCTAGATTATGTACGGTAGGATGTCGGCGAAAATACTTTTCAGCTTTCTTCCTACACTTTCTGGCCTGTTTACATTCATTATTGAACCATGGCTTACGAACATGTGGAACTGCAGAGGACTTTGGTATAGTTTGGTCAGCAATGTCATTCAGTAAATCGGAAAACCCCTGTACAGGATCTTCACTGTTCGCAAATACATCATGTTTTAAGTGATCAGCACATAGTGTCTCATATAATGACCAATCAGCCCTGGCGAAGTTCCTTCTCGATAAAGGTGGATCATCACCAGGGTTGATTGTTTTGAGAATGGTGGGGAAGTGATCACTCCCACATAGGTCATCATGGACCATCCATACGAATTCATTATATAAGTTTGAATTGGCGAGTGACAGTTCCAGGAAAGAATATGTTCCCGTAGCTGGATGTAAGTAAGTGGCTGAATCATCATTAAAAATGCATAAATTATGATCGGAAATACATTCCTCAATGATTTTACCTTTACTATTGGTATGGACACTTCCCCAAAGCGGTTGTGTCCGTTAAGATCGCATGATAACACATGGCTTAGGAAGTTGATCGTACAGATTTTGAAGATCTGCCTCACGGATATTAGAAGAAAGGGAAATATACAAGCTGCACAATGTCAGGGCAATGTGCAGTCAGGCGCACTGCAACAGTTTGAAGATTCGTATTTAGAGTAATAGGGCTACGTATGACGCTCTGATGAACCAAAATAGAAGCTCCTCCAGTTGCTCGATCCCGGAGGTGAAAATGAATGATAAGCACTATAGAGTCTCAGATTAAAGTTATCTGTATTTTTAAAATATGTCTCTTGGAGACAGACTGCTGACAGGTGATGATCTCGTACGAGTAATTGTTTCTCGTTGAAGTTATTTTTAAGCCCTCTGCAGTTCCACTGAATTATATTGTTCAATTGAGTCATGGTGCCTCAATTGGCGATCTCTCTCGAGAATGTGAGGGGTTTAGCCCCTCCGTCTGTCATGGGAGTACAGGGTAACCTCCATATCTAGAGGCCCAAAAGTGTTATCTAGAAGAACCTCTAAAGGTAAAGGGATGACAGTTGTTTCTTTCCGATTTAATTTTTTCCTTTCTTCATTTTTTAATTGATAGGTGGCAGACTGTGACGTGGCTAGTTGTGAATCAGTCGATTTCTCAGGTTGAATTTCTGTCTGAGACCCAGACGACGACAGAGTGATTGGAGCAGTAGGTATGTTTTGCGGGGAAGTTGGTTTGTTAGTTGAGAAGACTGGATTTTGTGACTTGACCCATGTCAAGTCAGTCTGGCACGATATAGACGCTGTTGCCACAGATCGAGATACTGCAGCAGAGTAGGGTATCATCGATGGTGTTGTTGTTTGTCTATTAAAAACCTTCTTTGCCTCTAGGTAGGAAATGTTATTTTGGCATTTCAATTTTTGCCATACAGGACATGGGGATGCAGGATTTGTACCATTACAATTACACCATCGCAGTTCTTTCTGCCAGTCTGAGCCCTCGTGGTTGTCACTACAACGATGACAAACCACAGTGTTACGACATGAGTTGGAACCATGGCCGAATCGTTGACATTTGTAGCATCGGAGTGGAGTGGGGACATACACCTCCACTCCGATATTGAAATAGCCCGCTTTGATTGTTTCAGGAAGAGATGAACGCGCAAATTGTTATGTTCTGTACGTGCTGATGTTCTTGGATGACAAACACAGTGGCATTAAACACAGGTTTTTTAATCAGCCATTACTAAGGGAGGTAAGTCCATACTTCCTGGATCCAAGGGAGATAACTAGCTACTTCCAGTTGGCTTGTGTCACTCAAGGCTTCAGGAGTTGTCTCCCATATGTCACTGGGGCCATAACATTACATCCCCTTTGTTTTGAACAAAATGTTTGTCATAACAACTAGGATATCGATGCTATACTATCAGAATGTTATAGGAGAAGATATCTTGTATATAATGTCAACACTGATACACATGGGCGTTTACACGTATTGTTACTTGGCACTGGCGGACCAGATGTCTTTGGCACAGTTCAGAAACAAGATCACTACAACTGGTCCGTTAATATTTTCTGGTAACGATAAAGCACGAACTGATGACATGTAAATTAAACAACACTAACTGAGTAACTAAGAACTATCAACTAGGGTAACTTTGCAGTCTATAGGTTCAACTTTTGAGGAGCTCTTACGACTCTTCCAGATCTGGTAACAGTCATTGGTTTGGACGGTGTTGGTTTGGACGATGTTGATGCTGTCACCTTCTGGAGTGGCACTGATGTTAAGTCCGTTGGTGTATCATCGGCATTGCTGCTGGGGTTTCTCATTGGTGTGTGTCTTAGGTGGCGCCTGTTGCGTTGATATTGGGCACCATCTGCTGTCTGCACTTGGTATGAGCGATTTGGATCTACTCTGGTGATCTGGGCTGGCTTCCAGGTTTTGTCAGCGGTCTGCAAATAGATACTGTCATTCATTTGAAGCGGTGGCAGATTCCTGGCGGCTCGGTCATAGAACAGTTTCTGACGGGACTGAACTTGTTCGCGTCTTGCACACACATCGGCAGGTTCGACAACTTTGGGCTGAAGTTGTTTGCCAGTGGTGGGAAGCACTGACCGCAGACGTCGGCTCATCAGAAGTTGCGCGGGCGAAGCCAAGTTGTCAACTGGTGTTGTCCGATATTCTAGCAGTGCAAGGAGTGGATCAATGCCATCCTTGTATGTTTTGTCCAGAATGTTCTTCGATATTTGCACACACTTTTCAGCTAGTCCATTGGACTGAGGATATCTGGGGCTTGATGTAATATGTTTGAAGTCCCATCTGCTGGCGAAGTCTGCAAATTCAGCTGATGCAAATTGTGGACCGTTGTCACTCATCAGGATTTCAGGGATCCCATGACGTGCAAAGTTGACGGATAACTTGCGGATCACTGCTGATGAAGACAGGCTTCTGAGCTGGTCTATTTCGAAGAAACGACTGTAGTAGTCAGCCAGAACGATGTACTCTTTGTTGTTCCAAGTGAACAGGTCTGCACACACCTTCTGCCAGGGACGGCATGGTATTTCATGTGGCTGTAGTGGTTCCTTGCTGTTTGATCTCTGTTTCTCACAGCATACTGTACAATTGGCAACTGCAGCTTCAATCTCTGCGTTCATGCGGGCCAGAATAGAATGTCACGGGCTCGTTCTTTGCACTTCTCCATTCGAAGTGACTGGAGTGGATCTTCTGGAGGAGCTCGGATCTCTGGCCTTTGGGAATGATGATCTTTTCCCCTTTGAATATGAGACCATCCATGACGGTAAGTTGGTCCCGATGATTCCAGTATTCGATGATGCTTTCTGGACATTCGCTTCTGGAATCTGGCCAACCATTGAGGATGGTTGTCCTCAGTTGTTTCATCTGAACATCATTGTTAATGGCGTCTCGTAGTTTTGACATCTTGTGGTCACTCACAGGGAGATTTGCGAGTACCATATGAACTTGCGCTTCCATTTCTTCTGACATCCCATCATCTTTTGTAGTCAGAAACTTGCGCGAGAGCGTGTCAGCAACTGGTATGTCTTTTCCTGCAACATGGACGATACGTAGATCATACTTCTGTAATTGCAGTAGCATACGCTGCTGGGCGTGCAGGTGCTGCCGTCAAAGGTTTCTTCATGATACTTTCAAGCGGCTTGTGATCTGACTCAACGGTCACGGTGTGGCCATAGATGCACTGATGATACCGCTTGCAACCAAACAGGATTGCATAAAGTTCCTTCTCAATTTGAGCATAGTTCTGCTCGCTAGGGGTCAAAGCCTTTGAAGCATATGCCACTGGTTTCTTGTCTTGGAGCAAGGTGGCACCTAATCCATTCTTCGAGGCATCTACTTGTAGAGTAATGGGCTTTTTCGGATCAAAGAAGGCGAGGACGGGCTCACTTGTGATTAGTAACTTGACCTTCTCCAGGGCGTCGTTTTGGCGTTTGTCCCAGTGGAACTCTACGTCCTGCTTCAACAGTTCCCTCATTGGGCTGGTGACTTCTGAAAGGGAAGGTGCGAACTTGGCGAGGTAGGTGATCATGCCAAGCATTGTGTCCAACTCTTGTTTATCTTTGGGAGGCGACATTTGCTTGATGGCTTCAACTTTTGTGGGGTCTGGTTTTGTGCCCTCTGCTGTGATGAGATGACCAAAGTAACTGACCTCAGTGACACCAATGGATAACTTGTCAGGGTTGAGGCGGACGTTCTTTTGTCGACAACGACTTAGTACAGCTTGTAGATTGGCATCATGTTCCTTCCTGGTCCTGCCATGAACCAGGATATCATCAACTATCGCAACTGTTCCTGTGAGGTCTCCAAATGTTTCATCTATCTTACGCTGAAATTCATCCTGGGCTGAGACAAGTCCAAATGGCATACGCATGAATCTGTATCTGCCATATATTGAGTTGAACGTTGTCAAGTATGATGATTTCTCAGAGAGTTTGATATTCCAGTACCCAGATCTTGCATCCAGTTTACTGAAGTATTTGGATCCTGTCAGTTTGGTGAGCGCATCTTCAAGTGTCGGCATGTGATAGTGTGGTCGCTCGATGGCGTTGTTGAGATCAAGGGGGGTCCAGACATATTCGGAGCTTCCCGCTGTGAGGTTTCTCAACGACAACCAGGGAGTTGACCCAGTCTGTAGGCTTGGTAACTTTGGAGATTATGCCCATCTTCTCCATCTTGTCGAGCTCATCTTTCAGCCGGTCTCTGATTGCGATTAGGACGCGTCTTGGTGGATGCACGGAAGGGGTAGCATCTGGCTTAAGATGTATCGAGCATTCACCTTCGAATTCTCCCACACCTGTGAAGACATCCTTGAAGTCAGATAGCACTGATTCTTTTGTCATGGGGTTAGGAGATTCTGCCTTCGGCTGGGCTTCCAGGGCAAGGACAAGCTTGATGAGTTGCAGTGACAAGGATGCTGGAAGGCCTATTACTGGAGGTGCGTTGGCTTCCACAACATAAAAACTTTCGGTTGCTGACCGTTCCTTGTACTGACACTGAAGTTGAATACGCCCAAGGACTTTGAGAACATGTCCTGAGTAGTTGGTGAGACGCTGATCAGCTTCTTCGAGTGGGTGCTGGATGGGCATCTTGTCGTATTCCTTCTTGGGAATGACATTGACTTGTGCTCCTGTGTCGATCTTGAAGCTGATTGTGTGGTCTCCATCCACACTGATATCGGCAAAGGCTTGGTTGGGGAACTCATTAGCTTCGCCATTGATGACGTCAATATACAGGTCGGTGTCTGAATCTGAGTCCAAAGCATAATCAATAGTGTGGATCTTCTTCTTGCCCCTTGTGTTGTTTATTGGTCTCTGCGTCTGTGTACTGCTGCGGCAGACTTTGGAAAAATGGTTCCACTTCTTGCACTTGTGGCACTGTATTCCTCTGGCAGGGCACTTCTCCTTGTTGTGCTCATGATGCCCCCCACAATTTCCGCATTCATTCTGACCAGATTTGTGTTCTGGACCATGTCGGTATGGGTAGGATCTTGTTCTGTGTTTGTTGATAGCATCAACGTTCTCAGCACTGTGCGAGGCAGACATCAGTTTCAGGTGAGACTGAGTTATTTCGTAAGATCTTGTGATCTCGATGGCCTGCTGCATTGTCAGTGAGTCGCCTTGTGTCAGTGAGTCGCCTTGTGTGAGTAATTTCTCGCAGATTGTTTTTGAAATAATGCCGCAAATGATTCTATCGCGGACCATTTCTTCAGGCTTGTCATATGCACAGTCTTTAACGAGGAGTTGTAGGTGTGTTACGAACTCTTCAATTGACTCTCCCTCCTTTTGCGAACGTGTATGAAACTTGTAACGTGCGAAGATAATGCTTGTTTTCGGTGCTACATATTGTCCAAATTTGTCAAAATGGCTTTGGAGGCTTTTTTCTTCAGTTTCAGACATGGTAAATGTGTTGTAAATGTCCCTACCTTTGGCACCGACCCATATCAGCAAATATGAACACTGTTCTTCTTCACTAACTTTCTTCAAGGGTCCTTTGAATATTAATGTCACATGCTGTTTAAACTTCTTCCACTCTTCTGGTAGATTTTTGGCGCTCCAGTCAATGCAGGGGTTTACTTGTGAGGTAGCCATGCTGATTTGAGCTTGTTCACACTATTGTTCACAAAAACAGTCTCATCCGATTAGAAATCAGCCTTCAGAATGAAATGACACTTGTAGAATGAGCTGCAGGCATGGAACTTGCTTATCCTGCTATTCTGACAACATGTTATGTTCTGTACGTGCTGATGTTCTTGGATGACAAACACAGTGGCATTAAACACAGGTTTTTTAATCAGCCATTACTAAGGGAGGTAAGTCCATACTTCCTGGATCCAAGGGAGATAACTAGCTACTTCCAGTTGGCTTGTGTCACTCAAGGCTTCAGGAGTTGTCTCCCATATGTCACTGGGGCCATAACATTACACAAATGTCATTAGATAGGTGTTGGTATTCAGTATGACTCCGTCTTTTCTGATGGTGAAACGTTTTACTGCAGTTACTGCCTGTTACGTCAACTCCACAGCAATTTCTTCTTCCGACATGTCAGACAGGCAACGAGCCCTGTCTCGAACAATGCCTCGACATGAGTTTAATGTCCTGTGCACAGACACAGCAACCTCAATGTTAGCAAATGTTTTGGTAGATAACAGATTAAGAGATTGCTGTTTCCGTGCACATTCCACCAGAAGTGAACCACTACGGAGACGGGTGACGTTTTTAACTTCACCACAAATACCAGCAACAGCCTTAGACATGGCAAAAGGGTATAATTTTATTGGAAGAAAATCCGTAGCCTATTACGAGGAAACGAGACCAGGAATCGGCGTTTGAGGAAAGGTTTCTTGAATAATCATCAACAGTTTCGAAACGTCTTTTCTTTTCGTTTCTTGAGGAACCAGATGGTTTTGAATCCGTAATGAAAGGACATAGGTTCGACACCCCTGCTCCACATCCACCACGGATAATCAACAAGGACAGTGTCATATAGCACCGGATCTCCGAGATGCCGACACCAGGGATACAGGGGTGTTATACTCCAGGGATAAAAAAACATAAAAAGCTATGAGAAACTAAGAGAAGAAATACCAGGCTGGTTCTGCCCATGACATCATTCCCAAGTATCACAGATTTCAGAGGTTATACACTCAATCTTAAAAGTGACTCGCAATGAAAATGTGTTGAAAATGGATTTTCACCTATGACGTCAAATGACTACAAAAAGGTCATACGCTTATAAAGATACGGGGCCTCACTCCGCTATGATTAATACTAAGTCATTGTAACTCAGATCACTTGGAGAGAATTTGCTGTGAATAAGGAGACTATATTTTCGTGATGTTTTGTTCATGGAATTATCTAAAACAATGATAGTCAAACCATTTGTGACAAACGCGCACCTGACCAATGAATGTACGCCTTTGTTTTGTCTATAACACAACATAAACAAATTCAATGAACAAGACATATCCTTTAAAAACGTGTGCATATACACTTTTAATGAAAAAAACCCCATAATTTTTATTTATTATGTCAGTTTTACTTAGGTTTAAAATACTAAATGTTGATAATGAAATTAGTTTCATGAAACCATATGTGAACGATACGCAAAGTATACATTAATACTAAAAGTGTAATCCGCAGGACAGTGTGATTGTGTTTACTCTTATTCAACCAACCTTCACCTCAAAGAATTTGCCACATATGTCCAACAATGTTGACGTATGACATCACTACCGATGACCGATTTTTCATGAATTGGCGGCTTCGTGGATATGGGTGCCCACGATTTTGCGAGGGAACCTTTGCCCATAAATGTATGATGTAAGTAATCGGAAACATTCTGACTATCTGCGTATGGTTATTTGTTTTTATTGTTTTCATTGAAATAGTCAGACGATAATTGCCTATGTCGTTCTCCATGATTTTGCGTCTGGCATGGCGTATCGCTGCACATGAATATATCAAATTTTTGTATTGTATCTGTTTTTAATTTTCTAGTTCTTGCTACGATACTCTTTCCGTGTATATTCTTAAATTATTGAGCTAATGCATGCTACGAATAGAGAAACTTATGTCCAAAAACTTGAGAAAATGTTGCCCAGTATAAAATCTGATTTCGCTTT